TGAGTGATACAAAAGGGCAAGGCTACTGAAGTGTGGATGCTAAAACAGGACCTGCTGAATCCCACTCTTAGAGAATGGTAGCTTCCATCTGAACACCCACCCAGAAGTATCTCCTTCCCAGAGTGAACCAACAGCCCTTCTCCCACCCTGCCATCATCTGCCTCTCCAGAAACCCACTGCTGCCCAAGCACACCTGTGCCACCAGCTAGCTGTGCCTGCTATGCTGATCAGACCTGAGCGTCAGAGGAATAATCTCGCAACGTGGATATGAGTGGGTAGGGGAAAGGACACTGAAAAAAAAGTGGCCCTTTCACTCCTGAAAAGCACTATCACACTAAATGAACGTGCTGGTTCCTATTGAGCTTCCAGGGTCTTGGCTCAGGGTAGCTGAGTGATAACATTTTCAGCCAGCTCTGGGGCATCTTCTGAGCAGTGCCGCCTTGCCAGACTGCTGTAAATTCCAAACAAATGTTCTTGGCAGTCTGTGCTCATTTCACCAGCATCCTAGCCTGACCCCTCTCTGTATTTGATCCACCATTGACTGTATGGAGATCCACTGATACATGGAGAGAGACATCTACTTTTAGAAACACTTCCACTCCTCTAGTTTGTTCTCCCAGCAAGGGCAACTTGGAGAACTTTTCCATTGCTCTGTCAGTGAACATATTCACAGCGAGGTAGAAAAAATGTGTAAAAATCATGTGGGAAATACAGAAGTGAGCATTTATAACAGATTTTTACCTATGAGCACACCTTCAGGTTGATGGAGATGCTCATCTTGTGTTTACAGGGCTTCCAGATCTACAGCTGGACAGCCTTGCGTAAGAGCTAGGTATAGCTGCAGTCTTACTATTTTGCTGTTCCCTATTTGTGTAGAACGAATTTACCTCTTACTCTGTAGCCATTTATCTATACTCTGAGGGTTACTAGTGATGAGCACTCACTGAAGTGATATTTGCTTAGACTCCATTTTGGAGAGACTTACTGAGACCTTGCTCAGCTGTAGTGATTGACCTCAGCTAACTTCAGCAGGGCTTTCCTGTTGATACCATTTGAGAGTCTCTCTTCAAAATGTTTTGGATCTTGTTTTGCCTCCTTCCCAAGTATGCTGGTGAGAAATGTTTTCAGAGATTCTTTATTTTTGTGTGGATGTTCTCTGTTCATTTATTCCAGTGAGATAAACTGGCCCTGATTGCTGTACTCTCTGAACATGACTTTTCTATAGTGCCTTCTGGTTTTCTTTGGCCATGTTATTGACACTGGATAATATAACATGAAAGGAGTGTGGATGGGCTTTTACAAAGAAATCAGCTAAATAGCTATTAGAGGATTAAAAGCAATCCCATGGCCAGGATTACACATCTTTAAAATGCTGATAATATCAAGGAGCAAATGGATTTGTAATTTAATGGCAGAAGAGGGAAGACTTCAAATGTGTGGTTTTTTCACATTTGATAGGAAGATTAAAGTGTCTGCATTTGGTGTGCAGGAGTTTGATAAAGCTGTAGCATGGTTGCCTAGGGATATCAGTGTACTTTCTTCTAAATAGTAATTGCGCCACATGGAGAGAATTCTTCTGGTCAACATTTTTATTAAAACTTTAATTCTCAGGGTGACAAGTTGGATCATCGTCTGCTTTCAAAGTCTGATAATGATACACTTTAGAAGCTTTGAAGAAAACCTTTGTCTAGACAGAAACAGCTTAAGAAAGCTTTTGAAATGTAGCATTCACTTGAAACCTTTGTTGATGCCTGTAGGAAGCAGTGATCCATATTTGGGAAATCTTGAGCTGTTTTCTACTTCCTTGTGCTAAAAGTGTGCAAGAGGTTTGCATGACAACAGGAACTGTGAGAAATAAAAATGTACAACTTTCCGAAGGAGAGTGGTTCAACCTGTGACAGATTTTTCCCACAGAAAGAACTTCCTTTTCATCCAGAAATTAATTTTCCTTTAAAACTAAATTAAGCTACATGTGACATTCTGGCTTTTGCATCTTCATCACTGAGGTTGGACTGGGAGGTATTTTAAGGACATCTCCAGAGCTGTAAAAGATGTATAATCTAAAAAAAAGTAGCTACAGTTTTATTGAAATGTAGACTTTTAACCAGTCTCCTTGAGTTGAGGTCCAGAGGCCTTTTCCAGAATATTATTTCACAAAATCCAGGTTTGGTTCTGACTGCAGAGTATTAAGAATATGCTACAAATAAACCAGTCCCATCTAAATGTGCAGCAGATCACCCTGCGTCTCACATGGGAAGAGACACCCTTACAGCGGCGACGGCCAAGCACAAGCCCAGGGATACTCTCCACTTGGTTAGACTCCTCTGGAGGAACATCCCATGTGGGATGAAGCTGAAAGGGAGCAGAGCCACAACCTAGTCCACTTCTCCGGCCAGCCTAACTAGCTGATCATGGAGAAGGTGGCATGCTGCACCATCTCTCTGGGATTTGGAAATCACAGGATTATGGCTCTTGGATATATCTCTGTGATAACCATCTGACCAAAAAATTTATTTGGGGCATTATCTGATGCCTCATGCCCAGGAAGTAACAGTCATTCTGGTCATTTTTATTTCTAGTGGTTCGGTTTGATTTGGCTATTTATTGTGATTATATGTATATTAACTGCTTTTCATCTTCAGAGTGCTTTACAAACAACCATATGTTTCACAGAATTTGTCTCAGGTACTCTGAGGAAGTGTATGTTTTTCATAGATAACAAAGATTTAATCTCTGCTTTGAGGAAGAAATGCAATTCAGGTTTACTGACCGAGTTACCAGCAGCACTACTGTATTTCCAGAAATCTCAAAACTGAGGCAGAGACAGAGGTTGAATCTCTTGTCAGAGACCAAAAAGGGAAGGAAAAAAGCCAAAAAAAAATGGATCCCAATCAGACATTCAAACCATTACCTTGCCCTTCTCCCCTTTCTTGGATAACAAATATAAACACTTAACACACCCAGAAATTAGTGCTTCAGCTCTAGATCCTTAGAGAAAACTATCCAGGTAACTAGAGTTCTACTTTTTGGGTCTGGGAAACAGACCCTGCAAAAGTAACAGCCCTTAGAAAAACAAAATAATCATTAGAAAAGGCAGCTGGCTACCACATAAAGAATAAAGAATGAAGCCTGTGACTGCCATGGACATTTTTACCAGTGCTGCTTCAGTACAGTCAAGCTGAGCGAACAGTTTGCAGCAAGTTGTTTAGACAACTCATTTAGGCTTTTTCCATTTCTGAACTGTGTGTGATTTGCCTAAAAGTGTTTGTTTTTCAAGGTTATTTGCTGTAAATTAAGAAAAAATAATTGGGTTCAGAGCTCCAGCTAGACCAGACTTGGACTGCAAGTACTTGAAGGCAGGCATCCAATAGCTGAAAGTGTATAAATGTTCAGAGTAGTTATCTAGAAATCAGCAGAGTATTTTTATACCAAATAATTTTGATTAGATGCCGACAGCACAAACCTGCTCCTTATCTAGATTTAAGAATCTAGATTAAAAGTTTATTTTCATAGGTAGCAGTTTGTATTTACTTCCTATCCATTTTCTTTATTCTTTCCTGAAAATTCATTACTCCTGCAAACAGTGCAGTCCCCTTCATTATCAACCGAAAGTGAAAAAAACCCACAGCCAGGATTAACTAAATTTTTTATTTAAATGAAATTTATGGACACGTTTTGAGGTATTTGATCAGTATTTGTTCTTATTTATACACAAGTATTTTGTCAGGTGTTCAGTCAGCATATCATGAAGGAAAGGCAAAAAGATACAAAACCATTTCACCAACGTGAGGCCAAAAAAGCAAAAGTTTAAAAGGTCTGTGGGAAGTGTACGGGTAAGAAGGAGTTTACCCCATATTCAGAATGGGATTTAAGCACATAGCTAAAAGTTATTTAAATCTGGCCTTTGAGAAAGGAAGATTTTTGAGCAATTTGAAGAAAAATTCTCATTTTAAGTAGACACGGTCCAAATTAAACATATTTCATAGATTTTGAGATACTAATTTTAAGAGGTGCTTTCTTTGAAAAAGTAACACAATATTCTAAACAAAACGAGAAATACCTACATTTTCATGCAGATGTAAACTGATATATTTAATGTTACCCTTTTTGTACACACCAGTACCTAACCACTACAGGAACATATTTCTAAGCATATAATCTCTGACCTGTCAAAAAGACACAATCAAGACTATTTTGTCCACAAACTCAAATTTCAGAAAAGAAAGAAAAAGGCTGGCAAAATTTTTTCAGTATCATGAATGGAGCTTTGCTTTTGAAGGTGCAGTTTTACAGAACTCTGTTTCCCTCTTCCTAGCATTGATTAGAATGAAAGTGTTAGGTTTTCTTTTGCTGAAAATCATTCTTTGAATAATCACCAAATAGCCAGTGCCCAAGGTATGAGTTGCTTCTTTCACTTTAGAAGATGCCGCAAAAGAAATTCATTCCCAAATATAGCCTTACTTATATGAAAAAATTGTCTTTTCAGAAATAGAAGTATTTCTGTGGGTTTTCTAAAAACTTTAGACTAAATCTTACCTTTCCCAGTCCAAGTGTTTGCAACCCAGTGCATCTCAGGTTAGCAGTCAGGAAAAATAGACAATAAAATTTACAGGAGGAAGCAGGACAAAGGGGAGGGGGATTTCCTGAAATGGATTTATCTGGTTTTGCTGTCTCATTGAGTGAAAGGCAAAAGAAAATAGATGAACACAATAAAAGCTGAATGAAAACTAGAATGCAAAAGTTGCTTCGTTTTTAACAATCCAAATAAAGTTTAGTAACACAGCTGAAGCAACTTGAGAGATACCTATTTGCTTACAAATCATTTTTAGGTGTTGTACAGACAACACTTAAAGTCCTTTGACAGATTGAAAATACCTTTTTTTTTTCCTAGCTGTTTTCCCTTTTCCTGGTATTCATTTTCAACCATAGAAAAATCCCCAGGATTTTAGATTTGGTTTTCAGCCAAACTTGAAGGTTTCTGTCTCCAGAGAGGCTGTTTCCTAGCTTCCCGTCTCCTCAAATTCACTGTAGGGGGATGAAGCTGAGGAGGTTTTAGACTCTCCATCACTGTTGCACTCCCGCGGGGGACCAGGACTGGGAGCTTCCGGGAGCTCCTTGGCAGAGAGCGTTTCCTTACTGTTAGACCCTAAGGGATGGCAGTCCAGCAAGCTCTGCAGGTGTTTGATGTAGCTTATTGCAGCTCTCAGGGTCTCCACTTTGCTGAGGCGCTTGTCAGCAAATTCCTTGGGCAGGTGCTCTCTCAGGCGTGTGTAGCCCTCATTCACGCAGCGCACCCGCTGCCTTTCCCTCTCGTTCCTCTTTCGAATGAAGGCAGGCTCAAAGGAATAGTCATAGACACCCACGTAGCCAGGGAATGGGATGTAGGAGATGCGACCTGTGTGCCCGCTGTAGGCTTGCTCCCAGTAAGACGGGTCCAGATGGAAGGGAACCCCAAAGGGCTCTCTCAGGGGTACCCCACGGGGATGCACATGGCTGTTAGCCAGAGACATAGCTCCTGGAAATGCAATCCTGTTCAATAGTCCATCATCATCTTTATTGCTGTCCATGCTTCTTTTTTTTCTCACTGGTGGAACGTCAGTTCCTGAATTTGGCTTCCAAATCTTCTATCAGTCCAAGCAAGGAGGAAACATTTGTACAGGCACTCTGCCCCGCAGGCTGCAATTTCCTCCTGTGGTGTATAAAAACTCAGATCTCAAACCACGGCTAACAACTCATGAGGTCCACTCTGTGCCTGGAAATCAGCTCTAAGCCTTGTTGTTTTTATAGATGTAGGATGCCAGCTAATTTACAGACAGGTTTTGAGGACCATCACTCCACACTTTAAACCCTTCTTTTCCTCTGATCTTCATATTTCAAAAGATAATAAGAGGGTTCCTGTGTATTCCTTTTCTCTCCGCTTGAAATTATGACCATAAGAGTTAATGCCAAACATAAATAATCTTCCAGGCTCTAAACACTTCTCATGTATTGTAATCCATGATATCGTTTGATATAATTGTCTCCAAAAGATGGGTAATTTGCAAAGTTTACAAGGATCTTCAAAGTTTTGGCAGAACTCCTCCCTTTCAGGAACCAAGGATCTTCTGTCATCTGAAAACTACCCAAAGGCTTTTCACAATGAAATCCAAAAGACAACTGCAAGCTTTGTTGTTTCGGCTGCTCTGGTCTAACTGAAACAGCTCACAAGCAGTTTGCAAAACTTAAACGGCATGTCTCTAGCTTTCTGGGGAAGCTGAGAAATCTTCAAAGGAAAGAGTGCTCTCTTGTGGTTGCAAGTCATGTCAGATCAAGAATGCATATATGCAAGCATAAGAGGAAAACCGCTTTCTTCACCCAAAGAGAGGCTTTTTCAAGAAGTGAGAGTTTCACAAATTGAACATAAGCATTTTCAAAAAATCTTCAACATTTTGCATGTTTCTGCACGTTGCAGGAACGTTATGGTCATCACTATGAGCACCTGCCTCAGATAAACAAATACAAAGGTGATGCTCTGATTGCCCCCTGTGTAGCTGTTACTAGATGTTTACATAGATATTGGCTTACCTGATGGACCCTAGACACTGCTTTAATTGGGGAGCTGAAAATCCCTCTTGACTGTGCCAGATCTGTGCTGCATCCTCCAGTTTGCCTGCAGCTTGCCAAGGAGAAGAGGTGGACAAAAGACAAGGACTTTTGGCAGTATAAGGGCATAATGTTCTCATCCGTGCCTTTCCTCTAAAATATCCTGTTGTGTTAGGATCTTCTTCTGCAGCAACTGGAGGGTCTTTGCCTTTTCCCCCGTTGTTGTTCAAGAACTCCATAGTTACAGTTTTTTTCTAAAAACACATCTTCATAGCTAACTGAATTTCTTTTTTTTTGCCACCAACAGTTTGGGGAGTTGAACATTTGGCCTGGGAGAGCTGTGGGAAGGGACGGATGTGAAAAGGTACAGGCATGTAGGGTCTATTAAAACTGTTCTTTTGCTCAAAGTGAAAGTTTCCGCCCTGTTCAGTCTTTCATGCAAAACTGCCTCAGAAGCATGAGTAACTGAAACAACATCCTCCACTCCAAGAAACACATCTATGTCTCTGCTGAGTCAGAAACCAGCAGCAATGATGTCAGTGTGCATTTTCAAGTCAGCCTTTGTATCTTTGCTGGCCTATTCTGCAGCTTCAAAAAACAATGGTAATCTTCAAAGTGTGATGAACGTACAGGCAGAGCGTTCCAGACAGACATGAGTGAGAACAATCCTGGACTCTGGTTTATGCCAGGGGCAGGATCAGCACCAAAATGGCTCAAAAGCCAGGGCAACTATCCATTTACTTTCGCCTCCATCACTAACATTGCCTAGCAAGAGCTGGTGCTTGAAGCTGAAGGTTTTGTAGCATTACCTAAGAGATAGCTAATGCATTTCATGAGGAGTTGAGATCTTTTCCAGTCACAACTAAATGTCTTTCTAAAATATGCACCATGGCTCAGATGGAAGGTATGGGTGTGAGGCAAGAATTACTGGGGAACGCCCCATGGTATGTACAACTCATTTCAGATCAAATAATCAAGAGCGCCTTTCTGCCTTTTAAAAAATCTTTGGAAACGGTTGAACAGTATGGGCTTTTCAATATCATTTGCACTATAAGCTTTGCTGTCAGAAAGGTCTCCAAGTAGAAATGTTTTCAGAAATGAATGCTTAAATGAAAATAGCTCATTCACTGTAGCACTGAGGTAGGCCAGGACTTAAAGTTTTCTTAAAACAGAGGATGTTGGCCTCTAAACAAATACCTGAAGTAAGAAAAGGACATTTGAGTCGTGTCATCATTAGATTTAAAATGCTGTTCTCTGGCGGTATTCCCGTAAGGAAATGGAAGCACGCCTCTTGGGGGGTCGCAGGTGCCAGAATGTTTCACAGCTCTCCATGACCTTGCCAGAAGTCTAGCCATGTTCAAAAGGCAAGGTTACATTTCAGTTCTGTCATGCAAATGCACTATTCCCTGCCGCCAGACCTCTTTTCTATGTTTACTGTAAATGCAAGTCACGGGCACTTCCCAGAGTGTCAGAATTGCCCGCGCTAAAGAGACATCTGCTCTTCCTACAGAAAAATCCTTTAGAGAAATACATGAAAAAAAATTACAGGTAAATGTTATTTGTTAATCTGAATGATTGAAGCTGATCTCATATCAAATGGACTCTGCAGTCTGATTTTGTTTCTGTGCAAGAGAAATAAGAAAATATGCCACAGGCTTTTGTTGAACGTCGTATCTTGTTGACAATCTAACGTCGAGGGATTTGCCCCCGGGCAGGGAGCCAGCGCAAGGCCCACACACCATACGTCTTGCTGAAGGTCCCTGTTGAGAGCATGAGCAGGATTAAAGCAATGTATCGTTCTCCTACCAAACTCTGCACGAAGCAGGCCTTTCTCAACCTGTCTGCACTTGCAGACTCAGTGAAAGTAGAAGGACTAGCCCACCAAAGGGTAAGGCTAATACGCATTATTTTTAATTTTAAGAGTAGGTTAAGACTACATGGATAATGTCCCTCTTCTAAGAAAAGCCTTTGATCTTCTTTCTCACACTGTTTCTCCAATTAGCTCCTCTTCACACCTTTGCTCGGATGATGCTTTGACTCCAGAATGCAATATCCTCCATGCTGATAAGAAGCAGATGGCCTGGTTTGCTTTCCAGGTGGCACAAATCAGGTGTTATGTGCTGCTCTACAATGGCAGAAAAGTCCTGCTTCAAAACTGTTGCAAGAGGATATTCAGGCTCTGAGATTCTGGAAGTTGCGCTGTTTCTATTTATATTGTATGTTTTGCTTTGGTTTTGTTTTGTTTTGTTTTTTTAAATACAAAGTTTAGATGGGGACTCTGGGACATTCCTTACGTACTCCATTGCCTGTGGCATTCAAACAGGTTCCCTTCCTTTTCTCCTCCTTCCTTTTACTTCACAACACACACTTAATTACTCAGCCAAAACTAATAGAAAATCTTTCTGACATACCTAAAAATAAACCATTGAGGCATCTTCCTTCCAGATACAACTTAGTTGTGGTTTTAATTGCATATATCCTAACACAATATCTACAAGAATGTAATCTTTGTACAAAAGAACCCTCAACTTGTTCACAGTCCCACAAGAATCATGAATAACACTACTGACATTACACAGTGATTGCTTTGAATTACTTTGAATTACTCAAAGCAACAGATTCTCCTTGACACCGTGTCCCTCTGCATCTGAAATAAAAGTAATCGGTGGAAATATTGTACTAGAAACACAAGAGTCAATTGAACACATGCAAGCCCACCTATTTCCCAACAGATGACATCTCAACTATTTTATCTGTGCACACATTACTGAGAAGGAGGAAGAAGAAAATACCTCAGGAGTTTAAAAAGAAACACTCACAACATTGTGCATTTATTATATTTTACTGTGCTGTGATTAAACTAAATTCTAGTATTTATTATATATATCATAGTTTGTATGGGCTGCTGCAATTTATTAGCAGATATAAAATTGTTAAATTAACGGTTTCTCATGTTAATGGCATACCACAGAATAACTGCAATTTATATTTGAGATTTAGGAACACAAGACTGAATAGTTTTGTACCTCTCTAATCCTGTTTTATCCCTTAGCATAGGCCATCTCTCTCCAGCTCTATAGCTAGAAGTGAGAGCTGCACCTAACCTACCCAGGTTTCATACTGTGACTATCACCAAAATACAGGCCTGCAAAGTGCTGACCAGTCAATAAAAGGTGGCAAGAAATTTGGATTTTTGGTGCTGTAACGGTTGGCTTCAACCATTGCTTTTAGCGTAATCTTCATTCAGTGTAATTCTGCTCGCTCTGAGAAAGAACGTAAGGGCAGGTTTGCAATAGCTGAAGAGAACTGATCGTATCGAGATGTGGGCAGGGTCCAGCAGGGACTTCCGCTCACGCTACAGAGAAGGACCGATGCGTGCTTACTGCATCTTTTTCCCCCGTGGTTTCACCAGTCTCCCTTACGTTTCAGTACATCTCCAGGATCTGAAGACAACTTGAGAAATAGCTCTGTAATTTGTTCCTCATGCAGCAAGTACTGCTATAAATGTCAATAAACTAAGCTTTCAGGGGTCACAGTGCAGTTGTCTTATCAAAACACTTCACATATAATAGAAGTGTTTGGTATATAAAAAATATCTTCCCTTGCAGAAGAAACAGTTCTCAAATGTGTTTTATCACAATACCTTGGGCGTGCAGAGTACATCTCTGTAGACACAGATTAATTTCTCATTCGGTGACACTTCGTATTATCACTGGCTTCCTTTGATACTTGTGCTTTAAACTGGTAGTTAAGATATCACTCGTTCAAGGGAGTAAAGTGACTACAAAAAAAGCTGGAATCTCTGAGGACTCATGTTTGACAGTAGGAGAAAAGACTCTTATCTGCGTATGACTACATCCAATCTGGCTCATAAGCTATTACTTTCAGCTCAGATAGTTGACATAGCGCGAGGATTTCAGCGCCAGGGCAGTTCTGCGGTAGAATTATACTATCATAATTGGCATTAAGACAAGCTGAGGGCTTG